TTGCCATTAAGGAGTGCATTGAAACAGTCAAGAAACGAAAGCGTAAGCCTTCTCTGGCTTATTTGAAAGAGCAGTATCGCCAATGGGAAAAAGATATTCATAATCGTAAAGCGGATATGAAATTATTCAAGTACGCACTGGAACAAGGAGTGCAGCGTGGAACGATTTTGGAAACATATAACGACTGGCAGACTGATGCAGCTTATGTGAATCCAGAGTCACTGCAACGTGGTCACGAAGACTACACGATGGACACACCGCACAGAATTGAAGAGGCAATTATAAAGGCGTTAAAAGAAATTCGAAATCCAAAGGGATCCACCTACGACGAAATTTTACGACATTTAAACGCCGTTTTTCCAGTACCTGCAGTAGACTGGATTCAACACCAGCATAATGTTCGTCGAGCAGTGGATGCCCTGGTTGAACAACATTTGACGGAAGTTTTACGCCAGAGAAATGATCCAGAGCCACGTTATGCTTTAATGGCATCACGCAGACAACGATTGTCTGGCCTGACTGGAACACCGGCGAATAAAATTCCAAAAACACCATACGGTCCAGATGTACGCCCAGCACCTACGACGCATAAGCGATATTCTAACGCAGTGATGGAACCAAAACGCCGTTACGATACGACATCATCTGGCGAAGGGAATACATCTGTAATTTTATTGGATGAACCACAGTCTGAACCGCGACGAAGTGAAAGAATTAGCCAGCGTACGCAACGCTCGGCCCGGCTGACACAGACAGCACCGGAACCACTTCCGGGAACATCCAGACCACCAGTCGCGAGGAAAGCAAACCGTCGAACAAACCCGCACGATCCCTTGTCTCCCGCAAGTTCACGTAGTGCAGCACTTTCAGTGGATGCACCGGTATTTATCTCTATGGATAATATTACGCAGGCGATACGAATCGTCGAAAATACGCAAAGCCGACCTACAGTCATTAGAATTTGGGAGGCAATACGTGCACAGCCGGGTATGACTGGAATTACGCGAGAAAGAATTCAAGAAGAACTGGAAATGCATGCCACAAATGCACGGCTCGTAGAACGATACTACGGCAGCTGGGAAGCAGTTTATCAGCAACCGTGCAGCATTACGAATCGAATAAATGCAGACTTTGAAAATCCCTTCTTTTGGACGGAGGCTGTTAATCACGCCATCAGAGACATTCGTCACCCTAATGGATCAACAATCCGAGAGATTTTTAATTATTTACGAATATATATCATCAATGGATTGCCAAATAACGCTGAAAATCAAATCGAAAATACAGTAGCAGATGAACTGGATTATGAAGAAGACGATGGCCGATATAAGACAGTTGGAAGGAAGTAGACAAAGAAAACGCTATGATTGGCTGACGAACAGTCTGATCTGTCTATTACGCCCACTTGAAAGAATTATACGAAGAAAACGCTATGATTGGCTGACGAACAGCCTGCAGTTGTCTACCACGCCTCCGAATTTCATGAGTGAACGAGATGAGACGCACGTGCTAGCTGAACGGCAAAAACCGCATGCAAACCAGTCCTTCATCTGCATAGCCGGCAGACAGTGAATATTTTTGAATTTTTTTTTTCACGTACCGGTAAAATGGAGTATAAAATTGAAAAGTTCCACGAAAACTGTGAGCGATGTCAGAAGAACGCCGAACGTCCATGCGTACGTCATTTGTTGTCCGGATTGACGGAACCGCAGAAGGTAGCAGAACTCTTCTACGAAGCCATTCTGGGTAATGTAGCCGCGTACCTGGAGTTTATCCGCCCGGAGTACTGGGAGAGTCCGCACAACAACGAGAATTTCCGCGAACGAGTCATCGTGGAAACGCATATGCGCATTCGACGGAAGGAGGAACGCTGGAGGGATATCGAACGCCCACCATCACAGCCAGCTGAAAAGCCGAACGCAGGTACGCTGCCAGTTGTTAATCTGGCTCAGTTCACGAAATCTACGCAGGAACCTTCAGCCCCACGACACCCATCACTCGATAAACGAGTGGAGAACATGCCGGCGCTGATGAAACGCATCACCGAAACGGAGCCAGTCATCCAGGATGTCACAGCTACATTCCGTGGATGGGGACGAACCCGAGAACCCGTCATCTATAACGAGCAGATCGCCAACAAACCGATCTTGAAGAAGTTCTCATCGGTACCGAACGTCTTCTTGGACCCGAAACTGCAACCTCCTACGAAGGAGAAGGACGATTCATGTGACGAACACATGAACCCGCGCATTTTACAACATCCAACTATGATGGGTATTCACTTCGGATACGGCACTATTACGACTCAAGCGGAACGGTTGCAGAAAGCTTTGAATCTGCGGAATGCTGACGATGTAACAGAGACGGCCCTGAAAAGGATGGTGTTGAGTTTCCATTCCTTTTATCAGAAATCGGAATTGGACAAAGTCGTGCAGGAACAGAATACTCCAGGCTTGAAATTTTCCCGGAAAGAAGCGGAGTATGTACTACACGGAACGACGCCGTCACAATATGCAAACACAGCTGAGCCGCGACCGAATCGGAGTTCCTCTGTTAACTCCAGATGCAGAATGGCTGAGTCAATTCCAAATACGTGGACACGCAAAAATGGAGGCGTATGTGCTACAGTTTATCCTACCGGAGACGAATCCGGCGTTGTTCTTTTTAGCCTGTCGCGCTTCCATGGATATTACGCAAGCCATCTGCGAAGTCAACAAGTACAGCGATACGCAGTGGAAAGATCGACCAGTGGACGATCCACTGAAACGTTTCTTCCGTCTGGTATTTGCCGCACGATTGGGACATTTTAATTCCCACTGCGAACTCGCGGATGAAAAGAAGAACTGGCGTGAATACGGACGAACTATGGTGGATGCGCTCGGTAAACCAGAAGACCGCGCTACGGCTCAGAGACGCATCCGGGCGATGATTGAAAACGACAATCTACGAAATCATGGATTCAAAGGCATGGATATTAATCCTGAAGCACGAGACTTTAGTGCGGAATATGCGTTAATGGACCATGTGAAAACTCCCCGGATTGTGCAGCCAGTTCAGCCAGAGGTACGAAACCTTCAGGCTAACGACGCCCGTATTATCATTGATAATAGTCGCGATCCTAATCGATCCCGCCAGTACGAAGGAGAAGCTGCTGACGATCAGCAGCCAAATTCTGGAACGCTTGGATATGGCTACGAAAGCCACTCGGGACGAGGCAGTCGCGCTGCGGATCGGGATGATCGTGACGAACACGATTATTATGATGAAGATGATTACGAAAATCAGCAGCGACGCCGCAACCGCCAAATTGGACGATACGACCCGAAGCGCTAAACTGACGAGTGGCACTGCTGAAATGGGAATAATTGGAATTTTGTGTTAATAAATTTGTGTTAATTTTTTTTCAAATGTTGATCTAACCAAAGAATTTGACAGTTTATTATTTCCTAAATAATTGTGATGGAAATGATCTTGATAAATTTGCTCATTCTAATGATGCTCATTTTGTACGGAATGAAATCTCTTTATTTCATGAAATTTGTGTTAATTTTTTATTGACACGCTGGCCAGAGACGATACGGATGGATATGAAGGCTGACGAACAGCATTGTCTCGCAGGAGCTCGAGTCCCTTTCCGGTGGCATGCAGGGATGACGGTACGAGTTGTACGATACAACTCTGTACTACGTCACCACAGGTGTGCAGAGCCAGCCAGGTGGATATGTGGCCAGCGTGGTGTTGTGTTCTTTTAGTGTGTGAATATGCACAGTCTCGACTGGCATATTTTTCTCTTCCCTTTTGTGCCCTTTCCTCCGCAATGTATTGCATTCACTTATGAATAAAATTCCCATTTTATTCACGTGTGTTGTCTCATATTCATTCGTCATCCGGGATACGAGGATAAACCTCGTATTCCCTATAACAGGCAGTTCAACGACCAGTTCGCGTAACAGTTGATTAATGAGATGCGCCGATTTAATACTTGACCGATAAATTTCCGCATACGTAACCGCCCGCTGGATGTGTTACATAAGCGCTTGACAAGTCAGAGTGAGTTAAGTAAGTACCGGAATGCACAACGATCGCACACGCACATCGCACGTGTTGGCTAGTGCAACCATCCACGGTTCGCTGCCACGTTATTACCTTACGGGACTGGTGTTCAGTTTAACTCGTAGCAGCTAACGCGCTATCGACGCAACCACAATCCTCCTCGTACGTATTAAAAAGTAAAAAAACCACGTATTCTGAGCAGAACGGCAGAACACTGAAACATAACTTTACCATAAAGGTATCATCGCTGCCGTTCGATGATGTTATAAGATGTTAAGTTTTCCGAGATACTTATTCCGTAATTTGCATTGCGCGATCCTGCGCAATCGTGCACTGGACAAGAGCCAGTAATGACCTTATGTCTTGATTTTACTTCTAAGAAAGTCCGAGAGAGTGAAAAGAACTGAACAGACAGCATTACAGTAAGCTCTGTATGTTACCAGTCGGACATACGTATAACTCAAGCGCAAAAGCCCAGATTTCTATATCAGCTAAGTTATGATGGCTACAAGCGATTGCCTTAGTAATCCATGCTGCGGCGCATGCATCCATGCTTCCGGTTTGAATTGCCCGTATGTACTGAAGTTGATTATTTCTGTTGGCGCTGGGGGTCAAGTCGCTGTCGGTTTTGCAACGGTTCGGGTTCTTTTCCGGCTCCTAACGTCAGCAATCGGAACCGCGGTGTATTCCGTAAATACTGCGCAAATACCACTAGTAGTGGTATCTGCGCCGTGGTCCACTACAGACCGTACTACGAATATTGCGTAGATAGCACCAGACAGCGCGTCATATTGCGTCGACATTTGCAACCCATAGAGCGACGCTGTGGTACGTACTATAAAGTTAACTTGTCGACAAAAGTGTTGTACTTTTTCTTTGTTTTACCGTTTTTATTCTTGCCACATCATCCATAATGGCTCGTGATCTCGTAGCTTGCGCCGTGATACTCCTGTTGCAATCTACCACCCTTCCGTACCCGGTCATGGCTGCTGTGGACCGTCTGACTCTGACTGCAGCAGCAAGTAGGTCGCTGCACTTTTCGCAGGATGAATCTATTTAACCTGCTCTCTCTCCCGGCAAGTTGCGCCTGGAAATTTTCGCGCATAGCGACGTGCGAGTTGCATTGGCGTTGGACAATGGTCCAACGTGCCTCACGACGTCGAAGCTGTAGGGGTAGGGTTGTTAACGGTGCAGTTCGGTGCGTTGCGGTGAAACCGCGGTTAAAATTTTTCTGTTCAAGAAAGCTATTCCGGTGTAGCTATTCTGGTCGCGAATCTCGGAAAACGGCGATTTCTCCCATACAGCATCACGTACATTCGCGCGTTATCTTATCTCCAGCGCGCTCACTCAACTTTCGCGCCTCCATACATTCGCCGCGTATTCAGTCGCTTTTTCAATTTCGTATTATTACTCTTCTGCACAGTTTTTATTATTTGTAAATTCTTTTCTGCTACCGCATTGCCAGACTGCCAGTATCATCGATGTGTCAAAATCATATGGGCATTTTGTAGGAAGTTGGCCACCTGTTGCATTCATTTCCTTCACCGCTTAACAATGATTTGTTTGCTGCAGTCAGCGATATCTTGGACGAGGCCAGACGACTGAACGGGAACGGCGCCATGTTCCTGCACGGATACGGGATCGGCCCGACGCCGGAGAAAATTTCGATTGCCGAATGGCCACCGGAAACGGCGATCATCCGGACGCCTGAAGGCGGCGCACTATCCATTCCCTGCAATAACAACCGCAAACAGGACAACACGCCGGTATGTGTGCGACGTGTTGAGACTAACATCACCCGGTTTGCTTTGTTTTGAATTATGCTGCACGACGCTTACGCAGATTTAAGTGCCGTGCGGGAATTCTGCTGGGAACAAGCAGATTAGCTCAACAAACATTAGTTAATGTACCGCAGTACGTGTCGGTGTAGCCGTCTTCCGTTATGGATAACAGGCATTAAACGATGATTTTGGAAGAATTAGTTGACACATGCAGCCAAGAAATTAGTTCGTAATAGCATTACCCTTTTAACTGTGTGCCTTTTGTCCCTATATGGGCACTGCTATCTGTTTCATAAGGCTTAAGGAACACTTCCTGATCAGGGTAAAATACAGGGTGGAGTGCCTTCCTATTAGAGAATTTCCTTATTGTTATTCTTTTTAGCGGCAAAACTAACGTTTTTGATCTTGTTGTTGATTACTTTCTGTTATTCCATGGTGGCATTCACTATCTTTATTGAGATTGCTAGCTTTCATTGTAGTAATATCGATTTTAGAAGCTAAAACTTTTATTCTTCTTACAATGCTCGACGTTCTCTCGAAGGTTTCCCACGTAAGGATTCCGCCGGCGTACACGCACAACGGAGTGCTGGTTCTTCTTGCGAATGACACGACAACCAGGAAAGCGTTCAAGGAAATGAGTGACTGTTGCGCCTGCACAATGGAAAGAGAACCGGAGGATTACACTGCGTGGCACACTGTGCAGGCGTCCGGCTACGACCCGGTCACGGGCGCGTTCATCCTGACGTTGGAGGGCTTCTCCAACGCCCACAGCGGTCTGTACGAGTGCCTGCACTCCAACGGCAGCCAGCTGGTGATGACGCAGCGCTACTGGGTCAGCGCCACCCTCAAACGCCACGAGGTCTTCAGTCCGCCCATGCAGAACGTCACCGTTCGCTATGGCGAGCCAGCGAAGATGGAGTGCCCGGTGCGCTTCAAGTTTCTCCCCGGAGACCTCGTCACGCGCTTCTTGTGGCGCAAGGGACGCTACGTGGCGAATATGCCCCCCGGCACCCCGCCGGTGATTTATACGGATGCATCACAGCCGGACTTTGATGGGGTGGTGAGGTTTTCGTTCGGTATCAACGCACAGAATCAGTGCCTTTCCGCTATGATGATCCCTAGGGTGAAATGGACCGACGCCGGTTGGTACGAATGCTGGTTCCGCATCAACGATCGCCTCGACGAGTAGGTTATGCAGGGAGCCTATCTGCATGTTACTGGAGCCTCATAGCCAGCATTTTGTTAGCGCACGCTTCGGCAACTGCGTGTACATACATACATCTGTGTGTGGCTACATTTGTGGCAGTTGCAATTTCTCCTGGATTGGTATAGAAAAAGATCCTTGTTGAAAGTGCATTTCTTTACGTTGGAATGGTAAGGAATTTTTGATGAAACTGTACTTTACTGTACTGCAGATGTTGAAGCTGTTGTTTTTGTTGAAGTTTTTTGTTGAAACTGTACTGTATAATTTTTTTATGCAAGGGCGGGGTGTGGGAGAAATAATGGGAAGGAGGTCTTTGGCTGTAATTGTGTTGGAGACTACCTGTCTTTACTGAAACTGGAGAATATCCCTTCATTTTGTTTTAGAGTCTGTACAGTACGAGAAGATTAAAGGAACAACAAGTTTTGTAGAGTAAAAGCTGAGTGCCTCGAGGGTTTGTCTGCTCCACGAATAAACAAAACTATATGCACCATATAAATTACGAGTATGTCGGTATATCGCAGCTGGGTACATACAGACAAGGCGGTCTTAACGCTAACCCGCCAACTGATCACGAACAGCAATACTTGATGGCGATGTGTACGAGTCAAGCGCGTTTGTTTCGGACACCCTCGTTATTTGTTATCATTTTATGATTACGCATTGCCGCGCCAGCAGCCGTAATATTATTGTGATGCGTATTATATAGGAAGTATTACATTCTGCATGTCGAATAATGGTCTGATCACTTAGCTGTTTTGTCGGTTGGCAGTCGCTTTGCCAATCATGCATGTTTTTGACGTAATACTGTAATTCAAAAAACTGCAGTGTTTATTACGCTGTAGAACGCTTGTAATTTAGAGTTTAGAGTATTTTTTACTTGGCAAGATATTCATACAATCCGGACCGTCTGACACGTATTTTTGCGCAGTTTTTATGGACTCATCAACGTGTGCTCCATTCTCAAAACTCAGTATCAGTACAGTACAGGAACTACCAGCTAGTTTCCAAAAAGGAAAAAAGATGAGCCAAAACACTAGTATACGAACATTCAAAAAACCTGGACCATTAAAGGTTACAGTTTTCAAATTGTAGAGTAAGTAAAGACCAGAGTAAGCAAATAAGGAAATAAAACTTAAACTTGCGTCATTCTAAAAAATATGCAAAATGGCAAGAGAATTTAAAAAAATGAAATTAAATAACTAAAAAAAAGCTCGATACGAGCACGGGACGACCCGGGGAACTGGCTCGGTAGGCCGGAGCGGACCAGCCGGAAGACGGACGTGTGGAGTGCTGGCGTGATGCATGGTGGAGATGGGGCGCGGGAATCGGCGCCGTTGTGGTTTTTAGGATCAAGGATGGACGGGAAGCGGCCCCAACGCTAACTTTGTAACCACCGTTTGACGTCTAAAGGGCAAGGTGTATTATGGCCTGCGTAAAGCCATTAAAAAGGGAAAAAGAGGCTTCTGCCAGCGCACTGCTGTTATTCGAGGCCTGTGACGCGAGTGACTGAAAGCCAACCAAGTGTCTATACCGGTGAATTTTATTTTACATGGGAATTTTCATGCATTAATGTGGTGAATTGTGGGGAATTTTCTTGCATAAATGTGGCATCCCGATGGCAATCGTATTATTCGTACTCTATTTTGTGCACAGCCTGCACAATGGCCTGTGACCAAAGCACATAATGCATGCCCGGAAGAAGGCTGTTTGACAAATACTCTTACCAGGGTAGCGTCACCGGCCCCCCTCTCAGAAAAATTTCATTTTTTGCAGAATTGCAGAGTGACACTAGGGTATGCTTAAAAAATAGTTTCATCTGCCATGGTCAATAGGGCGTGGCCAAACAGAATTTAAAAGTTAAAAATTTGCTGTGTTATAGCCTATGGCCAATGCATTGCTTCGTACTTTAAGCACATTTACGATTTAATACGAACCACTTGAATGCGCTGTCGTACGAGGCCTGTGCGTGTCCAATATTCTCCGTTATTAAACCGTTTTGTTTCTGAAGCGGGCCTGTAGGTGGTAATTGACAATAATTTGTAAGAGCTTGATTAGCAGGTGTAAATACTTCCATTTCGATTCGCGCTATCAGTTTTTATCACATACTGCTAGCACGAAAACCGAGGTAATGAGGACCTACAGATCATCCCTAAAATTAAAAATAATTAACTGTTTTCTACTTGCCCGTTTCAGAAACGGGAAGCCGAGAATACTCAGCGTACACAAGCCTCGTACGATACACATGAAGTGGTCCGTATTAAATCTTAAATGTGCTTAAAGTACGAAGCAATGCATTGGCCGTAGGCTATATATAACACAGCAAATTTTTAACTTTTAAATTCTGTTTGGCCATGCCCTACTGACCATGGCAGATGATACTATTTTTTTAGGTATACCCTATGGTTACTCTGTCATCCTGCAAAAAATTAGATTTTTCTGAGGGGCGCCGGTGACGCTGCCCTGGTTAGTTATCGTGATATACGTTTTTGCTAAGTTGATGCACACGCTGCATGCTCAGGTTGTGTTGTATGCCAATATAGGTATTTAGTAATGTTTTGCGACATACAAGGTGTACTCGTATGTAAACAATTTTGAGGATTTATTTAGATAGTTATAATTCTGTCAGCGCAACGATCGCCAATTGTCCTAAATTTCCTAATCAATCTACGCAGCTGACTGCCGCCAAAGAGGAACGCGCTGGCGCCCAGTACTTGTTTCGGATTTCACCCGCTAGCGCCCAGTACTTGTATTGGGGTACTATGCTCGTCAGATCCCGGTGAGTAGCCGGCAGAAAGGTTTACGGGTAAATTGTTCACGATCAGAGGTGCCGCGTGAACCTTTCTGCCGGATGCGTAAACCTTCCTGCCGGATTGCGTAAAACTGTGTGCGAGTGTGGGGCAAAATAACAAAATGCTGTTCTACCGCCCATACTGTGGGCAAAATAACAAAAAGCTATTTTGCCACAAAAACGGGTAAAATAGCCACTTGTCCTTATAAAGAAGGAAATTATCCTTATATCCAGTAAATTCGTAAACCCTTTAAATTATTAACAAGTAGACACTAGATGGCTGTGCGGCACACAAAGGTGAATCTTACTTCCTTATTGCATTTGTTCTGCTCGTGCGTAGCATCTCATTTTCACAAACACATGAGAATTAGCATAAGCACCTATATGAATAAAAGGGGAAAAACCAAGCTTCTAGCACCATTCCCTGCACGTTTTAACCTGGCGTGACTGTGAGGTTGTGGCTGAATATGGGCTTACGTACTGAGCCGAATTTTGCCATATGTACGGGAGCAACGCCATACTCCAGCCCGGTAACAGCAGAAGTACTGTAAAACGGTATCACTGATTTGATTCTGCGTTTATGTATATTTGGCGCCGAAAATCAACTGCGGCGCTGCATACGTATCAGCACGGCTTCATTTTGCAACGCCTTACTTCAGGTCCCTGATTTGTTGCAATGCGATGATTTGACTTGTACGCATGAAAGTAATTGTGAACATGCTATATAGGTGTTCTGCGCTTGCACGAACCATAGTCATTGTTGTTCGTTTAGACATACGAGGAATGTGTCCTGGTAATATTGTTTTCCTTCATTGCATTACCAAGATGGGAAAATAGTATTCTTATCGTCGGGGAATTCGTGACGAATTGATTCGCCGCAGTCTGCAGGCCTTTCAGAAAAGTATTCTCGAGAGGGGTGATATCAGCTGGGGAGGAACAAGAGCTCACTTTTCTGGATTAAAGGTCACACTCCATTACCCATGCTCATAATTTGCCGTACCTAAGGAAAGACGAAGGATCTGCTTCCTTCTCGTTCTTTATAGTTGCAGGTTTCTAACCTCTAGAGTAACGACATAGTGGAATATCTGACCATAAGTCAAACTAAAGCTGCTTGCTGTCAGGGCAATGTTCGTAAATGATCTAGCGTAAGTCATACAATCCAAAAAAATCATCGTGCACAAGGCGGCTGATTGTGGGTACTTCTAATAACATAAAGTCACTTTTACTGGGGCTGTTACTAAAGCGGCAATAATACGGGCGGAAGTAGTACTTGTTTGCACCACTACAGTCTACAATAACCAATACCAGTCCCATTACCAGTCCCATTACCAGCACCATTACCACACCAGGTATCGCTGCCAGTGCCAGTACCATTTTCATTATCGCTGCCAGTAGCCTACCAGTAAAAGGAACATTAACTGCATCATCCTGCTTAGCGCATAATTAAAGCGGCTGAAGCTAATAAAAGATGTGCTCTTACATCAGTAATTTTATCGTGCAGTGACATAAACGAGTGCGCTTTCCTGAAAAATTTAGCTTTTTTGTGCGTACACCGCTTTCCAGTACTGCACTATTTTTCATATTCCGGTCACTTTAACTATACAGTTTCATATTCCGGTCACCAGGTAGCAAAATGCCTTAACTAAGCAAAATTCACAGAAATGGTTAGTTTTCATAAAACCAACCTCTCTCATTAAGTCCGAAGAGTAAACGCAACAAATTTACTAAGAAAACCTAAGAAATAACAGAAACTCTAAACCGGGTGAGACGCAAAAGACCGGTGACCGGAATATGAAACCATTCACTCAAAAAGACCGGAATGCGTATGAGAATTAGGGAAGTAGCGATTCTATGCAATATCATACTGCATAGGTAGCTATGGTTGGCCTTAACGGTAAATAGCTGCGTACTCTGGAGTTAAACTTATTGTAAGTATTCACCTAATTTTTATTGTGACTTTTTACCGTTTTCGAATATTTCGTGGCATTTATTACATTTTTGCTCTAGTCTGGCTCGCATCTATTGCTGAATTATCGCGCGCGGTACAGAACGTTTTTTCCCCGGCAAGTTCGGCCAATATACCCTCTATCTGGGCGAAAATCTATAGGGAGCAGCCGACAAGATTGCGGAAGCTAAGCAAAACGCGTTTGTATTTTGGTGTAATCGTGTGGCAGCTATTCCGATGTTATTCGTAGAAGAGAAAGACGCCGTTTAGTGAAGGATTTACGGAGATAGCAGAGCAATACTGATGGAACACGAAGCATATTGGTATATTGCCACGCATACAGATAGGTGCATGGACGTTTTGGAATCGAATGTAATGCAGGAAGACTGCAGGTTTCCGTACGCTTTTAGATCATATGATATGGAAGTGCAGACTGTGGTGGGCGTTGTATTCAAATCAATGTAAGACTAAATTCTTCTGTTGTTTTACGACGCCAAAGTGACAGAAGGTACATCCAAACATACGAGTTATCGTACTACGTACTCGTACTAATTATCGTTTCAAATTGACGCCGAACACAGTCACTCTGCTTCTTTTTGGCCATGAATGGCCTGCCCAAATCTTACTGTTAATCTCCTGTAAATCATAAACTGGCTCCTCTAGTACTCGTTTAACGGCAGTATTTGCGTCGGGCTACTCTAGTCTTCATGCACGCTTTGCAATTTAACAGCTAATATCTAAGATCTATATTAGGTAAACCATCAACTTTACAATGTTCAGCGCTGTTGCACCAATTTAGATAAGAATTCCCGAATAATCACTGACCTTTGGCGTCGAAAATCACTTTTCCGGAACATTTACAAATCGTAACTGTTTTCGTTTTTGTTATCGCTTACAGATATGCGACGATTTTTATTTGTGATTTTGGCCGTCAGCTGAAACGTCAGGTAATAACATGCAAAAATGCCTCTTGGAAGATCCACTCGTCGAAGTAGTCGTTGATTTTAAACCAACATTCGTATAATCCGGCGTCTTTCCGTGTGACGCTATCGATTCTCATTGTTGAATTACATGTGCACGGTTCACGCACGCCAAACTGGAAAATCCCCCTGAAGTCCCACCACGATCGCGCCTTACCGGCCGCCTCCGGGATAGATTTTGCCATCAGTAGGTAGCTTCCCCTACGCCAGAGGAAGCGGTTGACGAGGTGTCCTGGGAGAAAATTAAAGCGCACTGGGCAGACCATCTCCACTGGGTCGCCTTCGCGCACGGTGATGTCCTTCATGGGCGGATTGAAGACATTATTGCGGACGAGGATGGCGCTGACCCAGTAGCGCTGCGTCACCACCAGCTGACTCCCGTTGGAGTGCAGGCACTCGTACAGTCCGGTGTGTATGTATGAGAAGTTTGGTAGGGCGATGGAAAACGCACCGGTAACCGGATCGTACTCGTCAGACATCAATGTGCGCCTCAGAGGTGCCCCCCCAGAACTGAGTTCATCAGTGCAATTGCAGTAATAATTCACTTGATGATACATTCTGTGAAAAGACGGGGGTTCGGTCACATTAAGCAGCGATCCGTTGAATTTGAAAGCCGGCGGAATTTTTGCGTGAGACACCTGCAATCAACATTTAAAAAGCCGTTTTAGTTAAAAAGCTTCCCCGTTACCTGTCGCTCGACCGCTTTACCAAGAGAATAACATAAAAGATAAAACAATAGTTGGCATTACGTAAAAGACAACCGCTAAGGGTGTGAGGTGCTCCAGCTGCAGGGAACAGGACTAGCTGAATCCCTACCAAACTTGGGTCGCGACAGTCGCGGCTTGCGAGGCAGGTTACCACGACGTTACTTGCGTCGTGTAGGTTACCACGACGTTAGCGGTTAGCTGGGAGACTGCTACGACATGGTGGCATAAGCGGAGAATCCACCCGCTGACTGAAGATTGTCGGATTCCCAGCAGAAATGGAGGCGAAAGGTCATTCCGTGAAAAAATTTCAAATGGCCGGATATCATCACACTGGTACCATGGAACATGGGAACGCGGAAAACCGCTGGCTGTTGACGTGACCTGCGTGGGCGCACGTGCTGCTTCGTATATTGACCGTACCTGGGGCTGCTGATGCGTTGAGCTGCAAACGTTGGGCAGCAGCCGCATACGCGGAATGGGGGAAACTGACCAGACACGGCTGGCTGTTACCAGCACCGTCGAAATTTACGGACCGTCGCGGAGTCGAACCGAAAAGCTCGTTGTAAGAGTGGAATCAGGATAGCGACATAAATGGTCAGAAATCGGGCGAAAGAGTTGCTTAAGCAGGAAATGCTATATGTGTTATTGCCTATGGGTTCGATTCCCGACCAAGATAACATTGAGGAGGTTTTTTTCTTTTGGTTTTTGTTTTTGTTGGTACTTTCTTGATACTCATCGAACGAATTGTAAATACTTCGATAATCTTTATAATTGGGCTTCCTATACCTACGTTACGGTCACATATCTGGCTGGGCTCTTGGCAAGAAACTGGCCGGGAACAATTTACGCAGTTTTAAGAACAACGAACAACGAAATGCTCATATGCCCAGACAGTTTTACCGGTTATAGGTTTTTGGTATACTTCGTAACATCCCTAGGTAGCGTATGCTACGATGACCTGTCAGTATACTTCCTTTGCTGGACGCCGCATACCTTTGACCTTTGCCACTGGCAAGCAAGTTGTGATATAGGGATGTGTATGAAGTCACAACATCTGTGCGCTGGATAACTGTTTTCACCACTATATTATTTTTGCCATTTGCCATATTTTAGTAGTTGCCAAAGTCTCCAGGTTTCTTCCCTTGCCATGCCTTTGCCAGTGCAGCTGTTGCGGCTAGATACTGTGCCGTAGCTGACGCGGCGTCGCGGGAGCACAGCCTGACAGCAGCACCAGTACGGCGCCGGTGCAGTCGCGGCTGTATACCGTGTCGCGCAGGTTACTAAGACTGGTCCGGGGCGCGACCGCGACAGCCGATTTCAAGTTGGGTACAGGTTGACCCACTTCTGGTAAGGAAAAGGAGCTAGGCACATGCAATCTGGATTGTTAACCCGCTTTATACACACCTTCGAGTTGTTGGTGTTGTTCGCATTGCTACACGTAAGGACGAGTGTGCCGCCTTCCGGAACTCTGATGACTTTCGTTTGCGGTAGTTCCTCTATGGAAAACTTCTCTATGGACATCGGATCGCGTCCAAGGCCGAGTTGCATGGTGCCGCTGCCGTTCTTTTCCTTCGCTTCGTTCAGTATTTGGTTGACTGAAACATAAACTACGTTACATATGTAGCGGGAATTACATTATTTACATATAACGCGCAAATGGTGCGAGAAACCGAATTATGATGATACTAGTAGACCCGTGCAAACTGCGCGGAAGAAATGAACCACAAATAAGTCACCTTGCTTACGCGATTTAAAGACTACCCGTATCCTTTCTAGGTTATTTCTGAGCGAGTTGACCGCCAAATGTTAGAATATACCTAATTCTTACAATGAATGCTTGACTGTTTTCGGAATTGCATAAAAAATTATTTAAATTGAGCCCTTATTAAAAATTGCCTTTATAACAAAATTTTATTGTTGAAACCTCAAATTAAACACGTGCGTTTTGAGAGCCTTTGATGCTGTCTTAGCGCACACAAATTTCACATTTTCGATATTTTCCGCAGACTGTCATGAGCGATCGCAATCGATCGCAATTACTCATGCGATCACAGACTCACAAGAAATGCAGAGTACCGAAGAACGTAAATTATGGTTCTCGGTACTAATTTTTCTGCTTTTTATTAAGAAATTAGATGCTTTATTAAAAATTATTAAGCAGTAAACACTAACTCGATTGAGCGGTATGCAGTTCATATTTTCAGTTCTTTGCAGTTTGCATTTTTAAATTATTTTTTGCAACTTCAAAAACTACACTCTCACTTTGATTAATTTTAGAACCACGTCGGACACTGGAAATTGTCTTACTCGTAGAAACGGGATGTCTTGCTCGCTGCTCTGCAAGCTCCGCTCGTGCCGCAGCTCCCCGTTGCCTGCGGCTCCGTGTTCGGTTGATAATACGCAAAAACACTTTACAATACTGTTTAAATATGTTTCTGCTAAAAATTAATTATAAATAAACAAAGTCAAAGAATTTTACAAAAGATAACCATGCGTAGCTGACAAACATAAACACTTCGCTTACGGCAATTTCACGCATTCATACTGTACTTTAACCCTGCACTTGACAGAAATTTGTACAGCGCAGAAACGCGTACTTGTACGAGCGCATTTGTAGCCGGCAGGAAGGTGGACGGGTGGCTGGTGGATCTTCCGTGAAGGTCATCCGCCTTTCTCATCCACCTTTTTGCAAAGGTTATCCACCTTCCTGTCGATTGCCGAACATGTCGAGCATGTCAACAAATCATTTATAGAGAGATCCCTATTGCATCTCCGCCAGTTGAAACAGTAATATTGAAGGATAAAGGTGATAGTGCTTCTGCGTTTACAGTTATACAATATTGCTATTAGCAGTGTAGTGCTAATGAAACATACCCAATAACACTCCTCGGCTTGCTATCAGTAATGTATTATGAACGACAAACGTAATTTCGAACCGAAAATACATTCAAATTTATTGCTATAATCGCTTCCAAACATTACGAGATCATGTCTAGCTGCAGAGAAAAAATCAGTAGTGAGTAAAGCCGCGCTTTTATGAGTGTTTTGACTACAGATTGCAGGCACAGGCCCAGCAAGGAGGTAAAAATGGTGTCATGTAAAACCTGGCAATCTGCGAATACGAGTAGTGTAAGTATTATGTACAAGCTTGTCCGGTAATTTCTGACGAATCAATACAGCGAACTACACAGATTTGCGGGTTACGCCAAACTTCACACTACGGCGCGCCACGCCACACTGTTTAAACACGTAACTTGAATTTGGCTGGCTGGTGGCTTGGTACACGCCATATAATTTCAATGAGAATAACAGTAACTGCCTGGCGGAAGGTGGCTAAAAAACGGTCGGTGTGGTAATGGACGATCTTAACTGCGGAGCGCATTTAGGCAATCAGATAAGCGTAGTGACGTGGCTATCGTTTTTAAGCGCAAATTTTGCGCTAGCTGTACCTTTACGTAGGAAATTACCGGACAAGCTTGTACTACGGTACCGGCATATCATTACTGGCGCCATGGTACTAGCGCCATTTATTTTGCCGTGGTACCGGCTCGGCTCAACTGCTCGGTATACGTGCATACTGCATGTGAACCGTGCTGTTACTGCAAATAAAACCGGCGCCATGTATACGCGCATTTTTACAATCACGGAATAGCTCCACGAACAGCTGGCCTTATCTTCCGGTTTTGTTAGCTGATTACTTTGTTTTGTTGCACATACCGGCGGAAATAAGCCATGCGACACAAGCAGAGGAACCCGAGCGATACACGAGTATTACAATATGTCCTGCTGTGCGGTTAACGTTCGTCAAAATCCGGTGCGGGTTTACATCTGACTCTGAGTCTGGCGCTGTTTTTAGTGTTAAATAACGTCGGCACTCGGCACCTGCCGTTACTGTCATGTTTATGAATGTGGGCTCTATTTAAGCTGGACGGGAAAGATAGGACCATAGTGTAGCGCTATGTGAAACTTAATTCGTAGGATGTAGACCATACGGTAGTATATATGAATACTGTAAATATATAGTCTGAAAGCGTCCTCAAATTAGCACCGAGAATTATATGCTTTGATCGTAAGTGTACTCGTAGTTATTATTATTATTATTATTACATCAAGAGTCTGAAAGATATTCTACCGAATACCTAACATCATTACAAAGTCAGCCATTGGCACGTTTTGAAATACGTACTTTGAAGGCAGAACAAGACAACAACTTGATGTTGCTAATGGTGAACATCTGGTGGACATCAAATGGCTCTGGTGGACATCTTACAGTTACATTGCAACACTCTGTAGACCGTAGGCATGGTCGCATAGTAAGTTACTTTTATACAGGTTACACCGAGGGACAGAGCCTGCCTAAGTGCTGTTTTTGCCGCAGCGCCTATCGTGCTGGTGCTATATTTATTGTATAGCACTGTACCGCATTTACTTACGTACTTATTGCTGTACCACTGAAATTAACGAAGTACAGCATTGCGTTCAACCGTAAGGCATAGAAGTATTGCAATTCCAGTGTTGTGCCTTCAGGAAGTGCCACGATACTATTTTTAGCGTGGTTTTCCTTTTTTATTACGGGATTTTTGTTGCGGGACTTAGCGCGAACAGCAGGATGCAGAGTTGACCTTTTTGAATTTCATATGGTATCGCACAATTACGCCCTGCATGCATAGCTGATGCTGTAAACAGTTCCCAGGAAGAACTGACTGTGCTCTGAAAAAAGTTTCAAAAATATACAGGTCACCAAGCACTTCGAACCGCTTGTCGTGGTAGAAACTCCCAACCCGCTTATACGTGGTGCCACATTTTATGCGGCATCTCCAGGTTTATCGCTTGCCATGCCATTGGCAATGCCACTCGCAGGTGCCATTGCCAGGTTTTACACCTTGCCAATGTTGAGTCGGTAGCGAATTTATAGCCTTGAGTTAAACTGAACACCGAGTTCACCAGAGGTTGATTTAGCCGTCAAACGCGGATTTTTGCCCTAACAAAATCTCTACCAGCTGCGTAATCGTCCACCATAGTGAACGACTGGCGCTTACCATGCTGGTTAGGGCAACCTTCCACGGTTGACTGCTAAATCAACCTCTGGTGAACTCGATGTTCAATTTAACTCAAGGCTATAAATTCGCTACCGACTCAACATCAATCCTCCTCGTACAGCAATACAGCTGACCGTGAGAAGTGAGAATACAGCTGTTTCGCGTGTAACAGGCAGTACTTACAACAGTAAGTACTGTCCCACCCCATGGACGGGTTGTTACGTATAAATAATTATGCGGATACCGGAGGCACGTACTTAGTTAACCTCCACCTGGTGGCGGAGTTATTGCTGATTTTTCTGATTGGTTGTTGCAAAGTTCCGTAGACTTTGTATAGTAAGGCCTTTCAGAGTTTTCTTGAAAACGCATCTCTCTTCTTCAAACCAAACTAATTTTGTTAAAACCTCCCCAGTTGGGGTTATCAAATAATATGATATGGAAATTAAGGATTGATCCAGTGTATCGTTCGGGATGGATGCGCAGACACGGCGATCACACGGTTCACACCCCCTCTTATTCTTTTATTATAAAGAAATCTGAACGGTGTTGTAACAACATCAGAGTTGTGTTTTTCGCATCGTAAGTCGCATGACTCGCATCATAAAAATATGAAAACAGCGGAATTCGACCCCGAAAAATTAAGTTCTCTATCGTTTATACCAAGCTTACATGATTACAGGTAGCAATACTGATGCGTAATTTCCCACTAAATAGACCACAAAATGCCCAAGCCTAAGCTTACGCTCACTCACTTCTCTCCAACGTAAGTCCTTCCTGAACAGGACTGTACAGGTCCCCAGGAAAATACCAGGAAAGTGGCAGCATAACAACACCCGCAATAAGAAACGCGCAGCCCATAAGCAAATATATATAATCTTTTCCCATATTTTCTTCTTTTAAAGTGCACTACACTTCAAATAATTATGTAAATATTGTTCCCAGGTGTCAAGTTTTCGTAACAAAATGAATTTTTTTTAGAAATGATTACGTCCTTTTGTAATGAAAACATCGCTTATGAATGATGAATTTGGAAGCTCTTACGCTTTCGAAGCTTATATTTTACCACTGTGACTTTAACCCATTGCGATAGATTAATACCGCTGTTCACTGTTGCCCCGCGTTATCTCTGTCACAGAAAACAATGAAACAGTCAGAGCTCTGGGTGACTGCTACATTGTTCCGTATCTTGTCAAGTTGCCTTACCTAGTTTGGCTATGATAGTGTTCGGCATACTGTGAAACCTAAGGAACACTACAACAAGTAAGGCAAGTAAGGTTCGAAGCGAATCTCGTTATGGTACGGTTGCTCAACCGTACGAGATGGCTGTATCCAGTGGCCACGCCTACAGATACGGTACGCGAAGCCACCTCGTGAGGTCGAGTTGCTGTATCGCAACGAGATTCGCTTTGAATTCGGGACGAGGCCTAATTTAGTATTTACAACGTAGAAAAGTAACAACCACTTTGTCCGCTATAATTTTGCTCGTGCGCACATAACAAAAAGTTCGATTTGGTATGATAATTAAAGAGCAGTTGTAAATTGTGGTCTCTAATATAAGCAGTTATTCATGTGGCCCGCCATCTGGGGAAGGTGTCGGCGACCAATAAGAAATACATAAAATGTACACTGTGCGGGCGGCTCGCCCCATATAAATCTACGTATGTATATACGCTCTAATCAACGGGACTCGGCGCCGGCATTTTATTCCACTGATCAGAGGAGCTCCCTCTGCGCTAGCACAACCGACACCATATATACTGCCACTGCGCAGCGCAGCTGCGCAAAAATCAATAGTCTGACATCACATCTCCAGATCGTTCTGGATACTTCCAGAACGCACGTCAGTCATACTCTGATCATGCGTACAGCGCGTGCACATGCATACAGCCTGTATGTGGGAGATATCCCACATACTTCCCCCTTTCTAAACCGACACGTATAACAGTAGTCACACATTAGAAAAAATCGATGACAGTAAAACATTACATGTTAAGGAAATTGCGATTACGATTGCTCGCACATCCAGGAAACGTAGAGGTTTATTGATTTTTGGAGTGGAAGTAGGTCTTGGAAAGCAGTTTATCGTCACATGGGAATCCGCTCAATAACAGGCAGGCATTTTCTTAGCAGTAGAAGCATTGCAACCGTTATTATTCCATTTCCCCACTGGCCGAACTGGCTACATAAGCTATCAGGCTACGAAAGCAACTCGGGCTACACAGGCTAAATCGAATCAATGGCTTCCATACTTCGTCAATGTCTGTATACGGGCAAATTCATAGGCTTCCTACATGTGGCTGCTTCATGTCCTGGCTTGCGGCAATTGTAACATGAACGTGCGTGAAAGCGATGGTGTTTCTTCGGAGTTTTCTGGGACGTGTTGACGTGCGATTCTTGGTCTGGTAGAACATGTAGTTTGATCGCATTAAAATTATATGGGGTTGGGCTTACAGCATGGATTTGTTGAACAGGAAAGAATAATCTTGGTCGTGAATTAGGTGGGATTGACTTCAGCTCAAAAGTCAGCTGTTGAACAAAGGTGTTGATGGAGTCAGGCAAATTGGCAAAAAATGTTGGTTTCAGCTGTTCTGGCAGATAGTCGAAGAGAAGAGATAATAAATCTTGAAACGTTGGATTGGGTGTGGTTGATTTTAAGTAGCAGTGGATTGCTTGTACGTATTGCTCCGGTGACAAAGATTTGGCATCCATGTTGATGGTCAAATGTTATGAAAGGTCACATTTATTCGTATAAATTTCTCAATTGATTTTAAGGTAATAATGTTAAATAACAGTTCACTAAAATACGTTCAGTACATTTAGTAAAAGGTCAAGAAAAACGATGGAATTTCTGATCAGCATATGCAGGCGATGGAATTAGAATCATGCGTTGGTGAAATCCCGATGAAATATCGCGTTAGGTAGAATAACTAAACACCGCAGAACGTATTCAGGCGGTAATAATCTTGTGTTGGCAAAATTGGGAAAAGATGGTATAGATTCGTAATGGGCTCGTACTGGGGCGAGCCACCACACAAAAAAATTCAGATGAAAAATATGAAAGGTCAGAGGAAAACTGATGTTAACATAGATCTCAACCACGATCTGCTACCAATTTGCGGGCGGCTCGCCCCATATAAATCTACGTATGTATATACGCTCTAATCAACGGGACTCGGCGCCGGCATTTTATTCCACTGATCAGAGGAGCTCCCTCTGCGCTAGCACAACCGACACCATATATACTGCCACTGCGCAGCGCAGCTGCGCAAAAATCAATAGTCTGACATCACATCTCCAGATCGTTCTGGATACTTCCAGAACGCACGTCAGTCATACTCTGATCATGCGTACAGCGCGTGCACATGCATACAGCCTGTATGTGGGAGATATCCCACAACTGAAAGCAAAATATGAGAAAATTTAAGATTTTAGCGCAAATGATTTGTATGCCTATGGAATTTATTCCAGTACATGCTTGTTGATAATGTCCTTCATAAAGCTACAGATAGCCCGTATTTGGCGGAACGTTTGTGCTGTGAAGGAGTGCCACTGCACTATGCTAACCACAATGACAAATTTACTCTTTTAAATATTTGAAGAAATCAAGATCTGATTTTATTGTAAAACGTTAACTTTTCTCCTTTATTTAATGAAGGCGAATAGTTAATGTTCTACAATGAATATCGAAGTTTACAAAGTTTATAATTTATAGTTTATAATTTACAAAGTTTATAAGACCTATATTCGACGCGCCACAGCCGTGCCAAGCTCATGTAGAGCATAAAATTAATCGTGTCATAGCGCTTCGTGATATGGAATTTGGACCCGTGAATTTTGTATTTATCGCTATGATGATGCTATAAAAATTACGAAACAAGCTTGTAATTGTGAACTAATCGCGCGTCATAGAGTAATACCGTTGTGTATTGTTACAGCGGCTTATCTTTGCGTGCTTCATTGTTCCTTATCGTGTAATTCGTGTCAGGTTGCCTTACCCAGTTTGGCCGAAGAAAATGTTCGGCATACCTCAACCTTATACGTATTCTACCTGTGTGGTGATGGCAAAATAAAAAGTATTCAAGCTCTTATCACTTCTTCGGCGCCAAACAGAATGAAACCGGTAGATTCACCACTACGTGTTGCTATCACTGATAAGTTTTATTTTCAAGCTTTGTGTGACACGTTATCACTTTACACTTGATCCTTCCTTTCATTTTACTTTCTGAATCACTGCTTTGAAAATTTAAAATTATTTGAGAAGCTGGCATTAGCTTACCGAGTCTTTAAAATCTTTGCAGCGCACGCGCGGTTCAGGACACTTGATACTCGTATCCAGGCCAACTCTTCAGACAAAGAACTGTTTCTTGCCTCTGACCGTATGCCAGTGAGCCGCTGCTGACAAGCAATGTAAGTTAAACGGTAAAGTCAGTCATAAAAAATTGAAGAAATAATACTATACGTAACTGTAGCACATTGAGTAAAATTAGTTCGTCACACAAAATTTAAAATTACAAATACAGTACATCACTGTCACGTTGGGACAGTTTTTCCCAGAAATAATTTTATGCGTAAGTCACTTATGAGCAAATACATAATTTCGCTTATCAGTCACTTTTTCGTATGATTTATACCAGAATCCAAAGACGATGTGATTGGATAGTTTGGCATCCAGTGCTCGTGTGGAGTATACAGATGACACGTCGATTTTAATTATACCTACCGTGTCATTTACAGTATGATTTCGGGCACTGTAAAAGCAGGGAATGACCTGTTTAGTGCTTTGTGTGACTGCTGTATCGGCACGTTCGTGGGAGGTCATATAGGCAGGGGGTAAAACGTGGCATCGGCACCTGCCAGTGGCACTGCCAAAGGCATGGCGAGCGATAAAACCTGGAGGCTCTGGCAACTGGCGATGCCACATAAAATGTGGCACATCTTGTAAGCGGGCGAACGTCGGAGCGCTTGGTCAACTGTAGAGTTCTGCAGTTTTGCCAGTGCCCTGAGCACAGGCAGTTTATTTGTAAAGAAACAGCACTGGCCATCAACGAAGTGCCTAAGTAAGCGGCGGCATACAAAATTTCAAAAGGTCACTTTGCATCTTGCCGTTTGCGCAAATTACCGTAATAAAAAAGAATTACCAGACGCGTTTAAACTTTAAAGTACAACCGCTGCACTTCCTGAAGGCACGTCGCTGTAATATGCGTCGCAATCGAATTAAATGATAGATGTGAAGTTGTGAACATATTCAACATAAGCAGTTTATCATCGTATGCTGGTAGCTAACACATTTATGCATACTTCGCTTTTACTCGCGTTCCGACCGCTTACAGATTACACTTTCACGTTCCGTCCACCTGTCTGCATTAGTAAACCCCCCTGCGTGCGATTACATTTTTCTACGTAGCGCAGCCTTCGCTTACTGTTAAATCTGCATCATTCGCTCACTTCAAACGCTCGTCCCCCATGCATTACGGAATAATATTACTAGTACTCAACCAATGGACTTAAAGATGGAGAAAAAATTTACAAGATTTTTGATTCCAAATAAGTGGAAATTTATGGCGATTAAGAAAAGTTATAGTCATTTTCCTTTCTCGTAGACAGACCATTTCTGACCCTAGGATCTCGGCGTACTGCGTAGCTCTTCGCCGTTGATTGTACAGATAGAAGTATGCTTAAGCGATCGCCGTTGTCTATAAGAATATAACTTCTTTTGATTTCCATGAATTGTCACGTACTTAGGCTTGAAAAATTTAGAATTTTTTTCCACATATCTTAAATTATTGTTTTAGCGTATTTGCTTCGTAGTTTACGAGGGATGAGCATTAAAAGTCAGCCATACGATATGGATTCCAGTATTTTCATTGGCAAAGCCTGCCGTCGCTACCTTTCAAATGTAACCGCGCGCTAGGGGGGTTTACTAATGCAGACCGGTGGTCGGAACGTGAAATTGTAATCTGTAAGCGGTCGGAACGCGAGTAAAAGCGAAGTATGCACTGTGATGCGCAATAGTGCGCATGTGGAAAGTTGGTGGTTTAATTTGTACCCCCAACGATGATTTAGATAAATACTTCTATCATTATTCAAACCCGAAACATAACTGGCTTGCTGTTATGGAAGCAACCGGTAAAATAAAAGTTTGGAACAGATTTATTAGTTCATTAATCAACTTTTCCAATTCATTTTTTGGATAGCCGTACTTCAGCACAACATTGCACTATAGAGTACACCGTACACGTACAATGCTGTACAAAACAGTATGCAAAATTATACGCATATTTAGTCAAAATTAATTTTCTTTTAGTACCATTGCACTAGTACCATTCTCCGTTTTAGACTATTCAAGAATGACTATGTAATTTATTTACATGATTTATGTTGTACTACTAGAGAGCGGCAGTACCATTTTCGTATTTTTGTTCTTCCTACATAACGTGATCTGTTTCGGGTAATTTAAATAAAGTTTTCTCAGTGATTAGCCCGCTTATTGCTGCTGTTTATTAATTTACTGTGATGAAACATTAGTTTTCAATTTAGGTGTTAATCGTCTGCATATCGTCTGACTGACCTGGATGAGAAATACAGTACGCAATATCGCTGATTAAGGTAAACACAACAAATAACACAGTGAAACAAATAACACAGTCCATAACAACTAAACTGACCGCGAAGTTAAATGCATATAAAAAATCATTTATAACGACACCACTTTTAACTGCATGTTTACCGATCAAAAACTTATACTAAATGGTAATGTAACTGGTGCTCGTATTTTCGCAGTTAAAAATTATTGAGTTTTTCAAATTGTCGAGCACTGTAATGCCAATTAGACGTAGTCACGTACCTAATAACACTCCGTGAGTATGATTCACGATAAACAGTTTCGGACTGGAAGAGAAACTGTATTGCTATAACTGATTGACTTTATTAACGTTATCATTTCTGAAGAGAAAATTACAGTTAATAAATGTAGCCGCGCTTTTTTAACACGCTCACCAATAGTCTTTTGACTGCAAACTACAAGCCAGGCCGAGAAGGTTAAACGGTGTTACTGTATAATCTTTATTTTCAGTCTACGAGTCCTACTGAAGCCTGCTCGGTTGAGTGTTTTAATAATTATGTCAGCACTGTTATTACAAAAAAACCGGCGCCATGTAGATTACATGCACAGTTCACATACGAATACATCCTGTACTTCACATACATACATCCAGCTTTATCTTTTTGTTTTGCCGGCTGATTATTTTCCCCGTTGTGGTAGGGTCACTAGGGTGTACATAACGCCGATTATGATTCATGCGACAAGCAGATGAGCCCAAACGATAGATTCTTTTTGCCAGTGTGCGTAGTGCGTACGTTAATATTAAATTAATTTTGACCGTTAAGTCGGAACTTCTGCATCTGACCTGTTTTTATGAGTCTGAGTGCGATGCTGTTTGTATTGTGCGGCGTGCCTAACAATTCCATCAAGTAGGATAGGATCCTCGCGGGAAGCATTACGTAAAATAAATTCGAGTAAAAGTTTCTATCATCCTGTTCTCAATATTCCACCATTATGCCAATTTGCGTAAGTAATAAGTAACAAGCAGCTTAATTGATGCTTGCACCTCGGTTAGCCTATTACTGACATCTGACAGCTTTTCATCTTAAAGGTTTCAAGAAGTTTAAGCACACTACACTTCTGTATGTGGTTTAAATTTTGTACGATACTGGTAATTGGTAACTGCACATTTTTACAAGTAGGTTGGTATTACATGTACATTATTAGCGTGAAATTTACTACTACGTAGTACATTCCACGCTAATAATGTACAAGTAATACAAGTAATGCCGCCGCTAATTATTGGTGAATACATTAGTAATTATCGGCGCTATTGTGTATCCATGATTTTAAGAAAGCTGTGCTATTGGATCATTTTATTCCCAGCGTTGCATGATAATACTTCAGGCGGCATCCATAAAGTCCGTGACGCGAATTGGCGGGAGCAGGAGCGTCTGACAGTTCTATTTGCCTTATCTCGATATTAGAAAAAAACTTATCGCAGGGGAAGGAGGGGGTGAAATCGGCAAATGTTGGCGTTATTTATGGATGCCGCCTAGGCCTAACTGATTCCAAAACGTAAAATACTGTACTTAGAGTATTTATTGAGTTATTCGTAATCATTTTTGCATCCAGTGCATCGAGATGTTGTGATTAGGAACCATCCGCTAAATATGTTATTACTACAATTGTGTTGCAAAGCATTCGTACTTCCTTAATTAACAAGAAGTACTGGTAATTGGTGCAAAATAGCAATTTCAGATAATCTTCGCATGCTAAGTTTTACAACAAGTGCACAGATAATAACAGCAAAGCGTTTCAGCATCGAGAGTTCTATCAGGGTTCTATGCTTCTACATAAGCTTATAGTTTAAGAGCTCTGCTTTATGAGTAAGAACGAGAACACCCAGTCCGCATATGGCAAATTACGGTACTTTGAAGCAATAAAACTTAATTTTTTGCTGCTACGTCAATCACTGTGTTACCGGTAGACATTCTGTACTATTGAACTGTACTTGTAAGTTGTAATGCCTTGTAATATACTTGTAATGCCCTGAACGCTTTAGGCCTGGTTGTTTAGGTTATTTTTAGTACTGTACTGTACCCCATTTAATTGCCGGTTAAAGAACCAAGTTCAACCGCAATTCGCAAGTAACATTCCAACGGAGCGCCTAAGTGCCACCATTGTCTTCTAAACTTGACTGGTAATTCTTTTTTATTACGGTAATTTGCGCAAACGGCAAGATGCAAAGTGACCTTTTGAAATTTTGTATGCCGCCGCTTACTTAGGCACTTCGTTGATGGCCAGTGCTGTTTCTTTACAAATAAACTGCCTGTGCTCAGGGCACTGGCAAAACTGCAGAACTCTACAGTTGACCAAGCGCTCCGACGTTCGCCCGCTTACAAAATGTGCCACATTTTATGTGGCATCTGCCAGGTTTTATCGTTTGCCAGTTGCCAGAGCCTCCAGGTTTTATCGCTCGCCATGCCTTTGGCAGTGCCACTGGCAGGTGCCAATGCCACGTTTTACCCCCTGCCGGTCATATATGGTACTGTATTTGATAAAATATCGTAGGCATAGTACTAACTCAGTACTAACTACTAAGCGTCAGTGTGAACCTTTTCATTCACAAAATGTGCTCGGAACGTTCTATCCCCAGAATTTCAATGAGCAGCTACAACTTTTTTTGGTCTTTGCTTTATTGGTTGCTTGTTGCTCTCTTCCAGCACTTTCAACTTCCGACCGTTTCAACGATCGTGTGGCTGCCTAGAGCATATATTCGTATCAGGGCTGCCTTGAACTGGTTTTTTAATGGGTCACATCAAATGATTTTCGTTTTGGCCGACGACTGCCCTGTTGACGCCCAGTGGTGTCAAGCGACCGCATATAATTCAGAATTTTTCCCAAACGATCGACAATAGTTAATCGATATGACCCACGACATAAGAAGCCTGATAGCAAGCGTCAAAGCAACCATAAAATGTACGTCATTCTTGCTTCTTAAGCAGTTCAAGAACCACGAGGGCGCAAAAACCGCTAATTTTGAACTTTTTAGACTGTTCGAGGTTATTTAACTGATTAGTCGATGTCGATACTTCAACGGAGTACAACCGACAACGTCTTGTTTGCAAATGTATAGTGCGGGTTCCAAAAGCCAGGCACTACCCGGGTTGAGGACCGCAGTCAGTCAAAAGCGTATTATGGTGTCGTGTAGTACCAATGGGCATGGAGGGTCATAAAGTACGGATGGTCGCCATGTGGACAGATGTTTCTATTTACAAGACGTAATCAGCATTCGGTTCTGTCAGTTCAGGTGTTAAATAGCGCCACGAGGTTCAGGCTGCACGAAAGTTTCGTGCAGTGACGAAGCCAGCTAATGACGCTTTTACTGATCGGCAGCCCGAACGGTCGGCACTTGTCTATAAAAGTTATTTGCTTCCGTAAAACAAAGGGTTGACGAAAACCAACGTGATATTTATGTTTCCCATGCCGTAATCGATGTTAGATATTATGGTGAATGATATGATAACATTGTACCTAGTTTGGCGCGAAGAAGATGGCAGTTATGCAGTTTGGACAAGCAAAACTATGGCGCCGTATATATCAGAACATGCACCAATTGTCCAGCCTGATAGGCTTGCAAGCTACTGTACAATATGCAAGTGGGCGGCCAATTCATTGAAATCTTTATTGCTACGGCATGCCGTCGACCTAATCACTAGTAATCATAAGGTTTACATTAGTCTCACTCAATCTTCAACTTCCTGCACGGGCTGGCAACCCCGAGGAGAGGGGGAGTGTTTCAAGCAGCGAATAAGAATACGTCTCCCAGTTCAAGTTAACAACGAAGATTGAGGGTGATTTCCAGTGTTTTGCGCGTCCGGAGTTGTCCCTTTTACGGGGTAGTTAACGGAGAATCAAAAAAACTTTATTGTACTGACAAAATATTATTATATATATTCTAAAACTTTACTACTTACATAGTATGCTTATGTGCGCGATAGTATGAAAGAATCAAAAATTTACTTTTGGAAAGTTAAAATTTCTTGGATAGTTATGATGTGCTTCTGTTTACGGAAATGCATGAAAATAAATTTTTGCCTGTCTATGGCATCAAAGTTGAAAATTGACTTCAAACTTCAGGTTAGTTTGGTCGGGCCTGTCGGGGTACGTCCACGGCGAAGCTTTACCAGCTATTTAGCTGGTCTACGCCGTAGACCGTAGTTGCAATTCCGAAGAGCACAGCGACCAATAACGGCGCAAGGCGGGGCCAATCAGCTCCACGGAGTTGCATCTCCCTGCAGGGAGTTGAAGATTGAGTGTAACTATTGCACTCGCACAGGATGTCGCAGCTTGCCTATGCGAGATCCGTGCGCCAGTCACCACCGTAACTGGACTGTCCGGTGTCCACATTGGTTTCTGACGCCGCCCCAGCCTGCGACCAGCCACAACATAATAACGCAAACATGGCTCTTGCGAGCAGTACAAAAAGGGGAGCTCAGCATAGTGGTTATGCACCAAATTCAGCGCCAAAGTGCATGACGACTGTCTTGAAGGGTATCATATACCGGTACATACCAGCTAATGCAGGTCTTAGAGTCGAGTTCGAGTTGACATCGCTTTGCATGAGTTTTTTCATTTCATTTGGGTTTCTTTCATTGCGTTTATCTTTAGTTTTTCCCATTTTTTTTACTATTCGTAAAATTATACGAAAATTATACGTAAAATTATACGAAATTATATTATATTATATATATTTTTTCATGGATTGCTTATATTCTTGATTTTTCGCTGCCCAGTGGTTAGTTTCTTGGCCACAGCAATGCTGTTTTTTACTGGTACTTTTAACGTGCTATCCGATAAATATTTTGGCATTGAGTAATTGCTGCGTGCACAATTATCATTGAATTAAACCTAATTCATGCTAATGACCGTCTACGCCCATTGGTGTTATTTGACACACAGGTCGCCGCGGGCGACCTATGGTCTGCACAGTCATACAAAAGATCCTTGTTTTTAACTGAATTATTTTATCGGGAAATCTCGATTTTCGAGCACAAAATCGCACTCCTTCGGGTATCGGGCATTCCCGGGTTAAGAAAACGGAAGAGGTTTACATTTTCTCAAAATACCGAGTGTTAGTACAATGCTTACTTGACTTCAGTGCCACATTGACGGTAGTCAGCCTACCAATTTGTCAATGTTAGTAGTCCAGGCAGTTGTCGATAGTTGCTAATTCCCAGCAGATTCCTTAAATTCTTAGAGCCTATTTTACAAGTTTACCGCTCTGGAAATTAGGCGTTTAGACGTATAAAATTGATGTTAAAGTATTGTATCGCGCAGAAGATATTGCATACATTCGGTGTATGTTCGTCCGAGTGCTGAAGCGATGGTGAAATAAAACGTAAAAACGAATAGTTAAGATTTAGGTTTGTGTGCGCTAAAGAGCTGCAGACATCAAGGCGATAAATTCTGCCTACTAAAGTGAATTAAAAGCAGTCTGAAATCATTAGTATGGCTGAGTGTTGTCTGTGGTAATGCTTCCTTGAAGTTAAGTTCCTTGAAGCTGTACATTAGTAGTTTGTAATACTTACTTTCTACACGCTTTTAATTTTTTATGTCGTATTGTACGCCGCAGTCATGTTTATTTGCTTGCAGTTGAATTGGCACATGAATCGCAGTGTAACTCATTTTCATCAAGTCAGTTTCTGGTTGCTTATAAGTTGTAACTGACCTCTCAAAGACTTCAGTACTCGATATTTTTTTGGGGCTTTTCTGAAACCTGTCGCTCAGCAAATTGTCGGACAGCAAAATGTAGATCGGCGAATTGACGTGCTACCGTTGCATTGACTTTGATTTGGAGGCATTACGCCAGCTCTGGAGCGTTTCAGTGTCGAGCACCGATATAAGCGAAAGTACGCGCCATTAAATTGATGGACTATTAGCTTGAGAGTTGAAAAATTTTTTATTTGGTTTGTTGTATTTAGGTCAGTCAGTGTAGCGGCCGTAGGCTATTTTTCTTAGTGTTCCTGGTTTCTTACAGTTTTGGTTTTCTGTATCTTTCTGGTTATTGGTTATTCCACTGCAGTGTGCAAATAAATGCTTGAGAGCGCGTGATGGAGTGGAGAGAGCCGGTGGAATTTATTGACCAGCACTTTGAAAAGACTAGAAGTGAATGGATGTCCTGTGAAAAGCCAGAGGACAGATGGAATGCATACCTTTTTTGGGCTGCATTAGGGTTCCTTTTCATGGGCTTCGCTTTCGGTAAGTTTAATTAGTGTCTGATGAAGACATAGCAAATCTATACCAATGTTTTTTGCTCTTTAGTTTTATTAGTCTTCTACAGAAGGCTTCGTGAGAAAGCAAACAAAACGAAATTGGATCCGCTGCTCCCGGTACGATGGGCAAAGGCCGCTAATAATCAATTCAGTTTTCTGAAATAATATGGTGCTTGATCGCGCCACGGCAAAAGTGACCTCACTGCCACAAAACTTACTGCCACAAAACCCCCAAAAATTTTTTTCCCGTACACGCGTTCTATAGTCCAATGTGAGCTGCTGCTACGGTGCTGCTGCGGTGTTTCTTGTGAATGATCTCCACGTGGCGATATTGTCGAGAACTTTATTCACGCGATAAGATTACATACTCTACCATGCACCTGCTTTCGCAGTGGTACCCGTACAAAAGCCCGAATTGCTGTTAGACGCCTTGCGGTTTACTGGTTTCCTGCCCAATTTAAAAGTCGGATTTTTCGTGTTTGGAGTAACTTTTGCTTTTGCAGATGGATGTTATCGAGACGATTGGCCGGACTTGCCGGTACAAGGTATTACCGAAACTTTGGAAGCGGGACATTTGGCAGAGTCTATAAAGGCAAGATTACTCGCCCCGGCAACTATAAGGGCGCTAAGATTGTCGCTGTCAAAAGAATTGAGCTCGGTGCTGTGACCAACCAGGAAACCTGGGAAAAAAAAATAGATCGACTCAGGCAACTTCCCACGTTAGTGCACGACAATATTGTACCTTGTCATCTAGTTCGCATCACAAAAAACATCGGCAAAACAACGGTGGAAATAATGATGGAACTTTGTGAAAGTAAGTTGACTGTTATTGTTTAATCCGTTTTCAGCAGGTATTATTTTACCCAAGCATAGAAACTTGAATTCCAGGTGATCTCGCATGCTGTCTGAAGAAAGCGACGCACAGCAGCACTGGGCACGAAACGTACCGGTACGACGATGTGGAACGTTATTGCAAAGAGATAACAGCAGGAGTTGACCTTTTGCATCAGCGGAATATAATACACGGCGACCTGAAACCTGCAAACATTTTAACGAAAGATCTGCCTAACGGCAGAAAGAGGCTGCTAATCGGTGATCTGGAGGATCTAGTTCACATGCAAGAAAGTGTGACTTGCTCTGGAGACATCACACAACTGCATGGAACTTTTAGCTATATGTCCCCGGAAATGCTGAAAAAGTTTAGTATGATTAGAACGGAGAGTCCAGGACGAAAGACAGATGTATGGTGCCTGGGATGTATAATGCTAGAGATTGCCGAACGCTGCTTAGGTAGCAAAACTGACAAAAAACTACTTCAAAAGAATGGAGAACAAATCACTGTGGACGACTCGGTTTCCATGAGCCGATATACCATCCTTATTATTGATGGTTATGTGCCATTTGTCAGTGCTGACATTCCGAGGAAGTTGGCGGCCTGTATACAGCTGTGCTTAAAGCCAGCTCCAAACCAAAGGGTAACGGCCGGGATGCTGTTAGATAAGCTCTCACTTGCTGACATCATTCCTTAAAACACACCAACTTCAAACTCGGAACCCGGTCAGTTTGAAGGCGATAACGCTTGCTCCAATCACAAACTAAATTCAAGTTCCTGAGTGTCTTTACCAAAGAAATGGAAAATCACTTTTAAGTGTTTCCTTTTGTGTTTCCTTTTGTGACATTGCAGCCATATGATTGTGTATTCTCGTTGTAATACAGGGGTGCTACGCCAAGTTCGGGCACTTGCATAAATTAAATTCGAAAACATTTGTGCGCGCCGTTTTATTTTTTGTTTTGCACTTTTCCAGTAGAACGTTTTACTGGGAATTCAAAAACGATAAAATTCGAAATTTTAAATGTGACCTCGAGCAGCGAACCGGCTAATATGGGGATGAGGTAGCAGACACTTTCAGAGCGCTTATACCTGCCCTTCTAGAAAATTTCCCAAGAAAGTTTTTTTCATAGACTTTTTTATAAACTGTCGAGCGACCCAAAAGGTATATAATTTGGGTCAGCAAATAACACTGGCGGGATCGGTGCTGGAGATGACCTCGAAACAAGGTTCTTTTCTATTCTTTAAGAACTTTGAATGGCAAACAGCCTAAAATTATCAATTTTGGACAATAGCATTAGCAGAATTATTAAACAAATTTCAAACGGGAGGAAGTGTACCACGATTCATGGGTCGAGCCGAATTTTTATGCGGGTCTGCTCTAGTTTAAATCCACCTGTAATTCAGACCACGCCCCCAGTGCGACGTCTCGTAGTAAAAAAGATGCGTAAGACATACGGTGATCACATAAAAATTGAGTAACTATAATTTTGTTGGTGGGTGACCTATAGTAATTTTTTAGAAAAACTGCCCGAACTTGGCGTAGCACCCCTGTAATATGCGCTCAAGAGAAATTCAAGCCATACTGTAGGGGGTGGCTTGCATTACGTAAATACTCAGCTACACTTATTAAAAAGAGGCACCGAACAGGCCACTGGCATGTCACATACCGTAGCGCAGCTCTTCGGGTTGAATGCGAAATACGGAAACGACTTCGTTTTGCTTGCTATGCCTATGTCTGCGCTGCTTCTGCCACTTTATCAGTAACAATTTTGCAAACTTGCGCACTAGGTTAATAACATTGTTACATCACAAGCAGTACTACATTTTGTGTAGTAAACAAATTCAGGTGCGGACGTAATAACACTCTTGGTGCTGTTATGGTAGTGCACCTTTCTGACCGAGATAGTCCACTTTTCTGCCGAAGGTCATCCACCGTTCTCCAAAGGTCGCCTTACTGCAACAGTCTTGCACGCTTCTGCCTCTAGTTTATTGATGTCCCATCTAGTTGCATCCGCTTTTTGCGGGTCGGCCAAGATTACCTTTGCCTTCCCTTTGCCTTTGCCTTTTCACTTTGCCTTTTTCAACTTCACCTTTACCTTTGCCTTTGCCGCCGCGAACACCTTACCGTCCGAATTAGCCTTTCCAATAAACCGTCCTAAATGACCTTTACCGTTGGCTTCAGCCGTTGCATGACAGACTGCCGTCAAACACTTCACCATTTCCGAAATTTTTTAGCGCTGTTGTATCTTCGACATGAAAAATTATGAAATTTTTGCTTTATATACTGGTATTACTGTAAATAATTATAACAAGGTAGCCACTTTTGGTTGTATATACTGCACGCCTTATCCCTTTTTCACAGCATATTAACTAGAATCAAAAGAATAATGGAATCTATACTATCGAAACAGTGGGGGCAAAGCGATTTATCTCGTACGTCAGAAGACTGGAAACTGCAAAACACTGGCAAACTGGACATGACTGGCCCAGCCGAAAACGCTAGCGTGGTTGTTTGCGCGTTTGATTCGGATAGGGCCAATGTCAACTACATTGTGAGCACTCCTTAATTGCTGTCGCTGACAGCGCAAAAAGGTAAATTTTACTCACTTAACCTTCGATTAAATAAATTTTGCCGATACAGTATCAGTATTTTAAGGGTTTTGTAGAATTATTAATATTTGATAAGGCAAGCGTCTCTTACTATTTATACTAACACAATCTGATTCTATCTTCAAATATGAGTTCCATACAAACATCTATTTCGCTTGAGTGTTAGCAGTCAGTCATAGATATCCTGAATATATCCTAGCCTACCTATTATTAAGTCGGCTTCAGGATACCGATTCCTGAATGTTGCTAAAATATGTATGGTTTGGCCACATAATTTCGGTCATAATCCTCTCCAAATCGATGTGACCTGTAAGATGTCGAATTTCTACGTTGTGACGTCAAAGCGTCTACGGTTTGATGAAGGTGCCGTTACACCTGCAAAACTAGCCTTGAAAATTCCAAAACAAGTTAATCCTGATGTGGCTACACAGCTTACTCGATCAAAAAGTATACCTAATGCTAACCGGCTGTCTTGATAAATTAATAATTATTGTTTAACTGTTTGATGTCAATAATGATAAAAAAACGGCAGAGTGTTTGACGGCAGTCTGTCATGCAACGTCTAAAGCCAACGGTAAAGGTCATTTAGGAAGGTTTATTGGAAAGGCTAATTCGGACGGTAAGGTGTTCGCGGCGGCAAAGGCAAAGGTAAAGGTGAAGTTGATGTCAGATAAGACACAGAAGCAGATGGAAAATGGGGCAAAATATGCCTTTATTGGTAACAATAAAGCAACCACAAACAAACACAGAAAACCAATGCGGTCTAAGCTGTGGAAAGTAGCTGCCAGCGAGCTCGTGAGAATCGTGATTAATGATTCAGCGTGCTGCAGGTATGCAACAGCTGATGCCGTAAAGCATGGAATCGCTCGTAAGCGCTGGGCTACGCCCCCAAGAGTGCAGAAATACGCTGATTGGTCAGCGTAGACAAAGTATACGCTGAGTGAGCAGCGTAATAGCGCGGCACGAATGGAGTAGCCATGTGCGGGCGGGCGACAGAGCAAAGCCACAAACGCGTTCTTCCCTCGTATGGGAACAATGCGTTCATTGGCTGTGATCACAACCAATAGAAATTGCGAAATGGGCTCATTACACTACCGTCTAGGCGCTACTAATTAGGTGCTACTAAATAGTTTAATAAATTCGCGTTTGCAATGCGAATTTCGTCTAGGTGCTACTAATTAGACGCTATTAATATTTTATTGCAAATTGCAATGCACGTGCAATATATGTAGGTGCTACTGATTAGGTGCTACAAATATTTCTAGGTTATTTCTAGCCACGTGTAAGTTATGTCTAGGTGCTACTAATTTGGTGTTCTGATATTTTATAGTAATGCGATGTAGGTCATGTCTAGGTGCTACTAAATAGGTGCTAGTAATATTTTATTGCAGTGCAGTATATCTAGGTGCTACTAAATTTTTTAATAGCAACGCGATATGAGGTTAGGTGCTACTAATTAGGCGCTACTAAATATTTTAGTATAATCGAGCCGTGTAATCCGGTATTTCACAATTTTCATTGGTTGTGATGTTAAATTATCACAGCCAATGAGGGCGTTGTTCCCATACGAGGGAAGAACGCGTAAAGCCACAAGAGGTGTCTACCGCCTCGAGTGTGCGGTCTCTGACATGCCTCTGGGCGGGAGTGGGAGCTCCTGCGAGCACCTTCCGACTCTGCCCCTGGCCAACCCGGTAGGGTGCCAGGATCCGATACCCGGTAGGGCCGGATGCCACTTTGTCTCTAAACCCGTTAGGGTCGGTTGCTCCAGACCCGCGGTGCAGTGCACCTAACGGCCGAAATCTGGAGTGCACTCTGGTTGCAGGGGGTTCCAGTGTGGTTTGAAGGCTTGGTTTGGTCGAACAGTTAAAAGAATAAAGTTTGTAAGGCTCATTGGTTAAACATCGAAATAGAAAAATCACAATTTCGGTGAGAGTTTAAGAAAGTAAGATCATAGTTAGAGATCCCAAAGCCAATTCCTTTGGTTATTTGGCTAAATAAAAACATCAATTCTTTGGTTAATAAAGTCTAGAAAAACCAGGTATGGTTAAAAAACTAGACGTAAAATGGCTTATTCCGACTAGGGTTACCACAGGGCCACTTTTGTCCACACGGGTCCTAGTCAACGGTCCGCTTTATCCGGTAGGATTGGTCTGGTCCTGTAGATCCGGGGCGACGGTTCCCAGAGATGTCCACAGGGGTCCAGTGAAGTAAATCCAGCGGTGCGGTATATGGAAGGCACTATTGCTTTTGCAAGGACAAGTTCTCCCCTTCCTGGTTCAATATGGTGGACCAAGCCCGGTTGGGCGGTCCATGATGGGCCAGAGTGATGCCTCTGGACAGGAGAGGTGCTCCTGTGACCAAATTAGTGTGCTTGGACCAATTCCGTTAGGATGGCCATGCTTTGGTCTGACATGCCTCTGTTGGACCTGACCCGTTAGGGTTGTCCCTGGTGTAGTGGGTGTGGGAGTCCTGTCGGATTCCTTCCCAGTGGCCAAAATTGGTGCTTTGGACCAGTCCCGTTAGGGCGGTTCACATGGGTCTCTAACTTGGACCGCTTTGGCTTTGCATGCCAGTTTGGTCATGCGCCTAGGTCCAAAAATCTTCTAAGTCCACGAGGGCCACAATGGAAAAATTTTCTAAGTCCCAGGACCGAAGTGGTGTAATGGACCAAACCCGTTGGGGCGGTCCAAACTCGGTCTCTGACATGCTCTGGGGCGGGATACGGGGTTCCGTTGTGATGTGGCTCGCCTCCGGCTGGTGTGGGACGTGGGGGTCCTGTATAACAGGTTTTGGCTCTCTGATATGGACTTAGTCGATTTTTCGGTGGGCCACGTCGTTGGACGGGCCAAAAGACTTAGTCGATTTTTCGACGGTCCAAAGTGTATGGCGGGCCAAAAGGACTTAGTCGTTTTTTCGACGGTCCAAGGTGTATGGCGGGCCAAAAGGACTTAGTCGTTTTTTCGACGGTCCAAGGTGTATGGCGGGCCAAAATTGCAGACTCGTTGAGTCTGGTCCGTCTCATTGGCCGTGGGCCATGAGTTAGCTACCATGTCCTGTCAGATAGGCCTGAGACCGTGGCCATAACAAAATTAAGTGGCTGCCGACGAAAACGTCAGGTTAGCCGGGCCAAACTCCAAAAAATTGAGTTGTGGGCGCCTGTAGGCGTTTTCCACAAAGGAGTCAGTCTGCTGACTAAAAGCATCCTCGTTTGGCCTCGAGGCAGTGCATCTTTTGGATGGGCCTCTGGGCGGTCCGTGGTGAGGATGTTGGACGTGGCATGCAAAGTGGGTGTACCACAACTTCTATGTGGCTCCCTTACTCACTTGTCCCAGTTGCCTGGTATGGCAACTAAACTCGTGAGCCGCGTATGGTCCGTTGGACACACAGCGGGCCTGGTCCAACTTCTATGGGCCAGGACTTGGCCTTGGCTTGTCGCATCTTCTATGCGGGCCAGGCTGATCCTTGGCTTGTCGCATCTTCTATGCGGGCCAGGCTGATCCTTGGCTTGTCGCAACTTCTATGCGGGCCAGGATCGATCCACGGCTTGTCGCAACTTCTATGCGGGCCGTCGCCGCCTTCTGGGCGCTGGATCCTTTCCATGCCGGTGAACCGGGCCTTGCGCCAAGTTCGGTCCGGTGGACTCCGTCGGATGGTCTGGGATGGCCAGGCCAAATTCATGGTCCCAGCCGCTAAGCCAGAGCCAATCCGGGGAATCCGGTTAAGGTCCAGGAGTTTAGGTCCGGTAAGGTAGACGATACATGGCTGTAAGCCACGTTTGTTGGGCGAGGGTTACAACCGTTGGATTGTACCCATTATGGTGTTCAAGTCCGGTTCAGCCGATGCCGGTCCAATTTTAGGGCCGACATGCAGGAATGGCCGTTGGCCTATTCCTGCCCTCCTTGTCCGGCTT